ACCTAAAATCTCCCCTCTCTATACGATTGTCAAGCTTGCAGTTTGCTGCTCGCATTTCTGAGCTCGTTTATTCAGAGCTACGTTTATTTTGGCTGATTATCCTGCTGCTGACCGCTGGCCGCTGGCTGTTGGCTCCGTTCCCCCCACTTGCTTATCTGTGATAATGAGTCTTAACAGCAATTTTTATTATTTTTTTATTGGAATCAGCAGCTGCCCTTGGGCAAGCCATCACACTGAGCAGATCCTGGCTCAGTGTTGATCCTGGCGCACTGATAACGCGCTGAAAGCCACACCACAAATTAATTAATTTATGAGCCAAAGCGAGCGACAGGTCGGACGGCAGCGATGGCAGCGCGTCTTGGCATTGAGAAATGCGCCACACTGATGAGCATAAAATTGTTGGCCATTCTCGCGCGAGAGCTAACCCATATTCGCATGCGTGGCCAGTCATAAATTCCAGGGACAACAACAGCACCGACAATGAAAATTGTTCATGCTAATGAGCCGCACGCTAACTGTACAAATGTCTAGCAAAGGCGAAAGAGAAACTGAAACTGAATTATAAAATAAAAGTGCAACACATGTGTCCCTGCTCTGGACTCGGACGCTGGCCATAGGCTTAGCCAAATGAAGCTTGGCCTGCGCCTTGCCTTGCCTTGCCTTGGCTTGGCTGTTTTTGTCCTTGCATGGCATAACTCATAATTTTCCACTTTTTCTTCTCTCCCTCCCCTTTTCCATCACCCACCCTACCACCCGTCGTCTACTGCACGTTGTCAGGCAGCCCACACACGACTAGGTCTATGCGCCCGAGCATGGACTTAATTTACACTTTTGTGCTGGGGCGCGTGCTTATCGCGCACACAAAATCTCTAAGCTTGTGGGCAGTGTGGCTCGCTCGGGGACAGGGGGCGGCGTCTCTCACAGTGTATGTGTGTGCTATATGACTGCATTTTTATAAGCTGCCAACATGCGAAAATGGGCTTTAGCAGTTGTTATGAGTGTTAACACTCTCATACCTGGCTCACCTCGCAGTCCAGAGCAGAACGAAACCGAAACCGAAACTCAAATTCTCCGACTCTCGGAAGGCTTTATAAATTTTGGATACCCTTGCGTAGAGCTTTATCAAAAATTGTCAAGGAATGTGCTGGAATTTAAAGAAGAGTTCCTCTAACTAATTTCTATTTATAATAA